ATTTTCCCTACCGGACTTATAGACTTCCTACTCTAGCCTAGACCTAGACCGGACTGACTGGACTGACCGGTACCGTTGCTGTTTCGGCCTCTCGGCCTCTACCGTACCCGGCTATAGGCTATAGGACCGTATAGCAGTATAGGCCACTTGTCTGTCCTAGGGGTAGCTCGGGCCTGCTATAGGCAGTTAGGGTAGCTGTAGGAATTCGGTTAGTACCGGGTCTGTATTTTTCTCGGATTTGCAGATTTGTCCCTTACGAATTTCCTCACAGACGGACCTTTCGGTTAGTCCTCAGCCAAACAAAATTACAAAACTAACCCTACGGTTAGTGTACAGCCTCGCAGTGAATCCCGGCAGCAGAAATCAGCAAGTCATTGCACATCTCTGTTCGGCCTAGGCTCGGGTTATGTACCCGAGTGAACTTCCATCCACAACGAATTCACACGTTCCCATACACGCATGCAATTGCAGAGTAGACCCGGAGGAGGCAAATCCACACAAAACCGGAGAGAGGATATGCACAGCGGAAGCTCGAAATACACAGAGACTTGAAAAACGAATTTCAAGTCTGTAATCCCCCGTCCTTCTCCAATCAATCCAAAGTACGTGTTCCGAGAATCACAACCACGTTTACAACAACCCCGAACAACCAGAAACAAGTGTTCAACGAAGTATGCAGGAGTCTTCTTCCTCATCCTTGCCACCTCATACCCCTGGCTATGGCTGCCGTAGCAGCAGTAACCTCACAGCTGTCACAACGTGCCAATCGGAACCAGCAACCCCAATGATAGCAGCGCCTGCACAGAAGTGCAGTGCAGGAAGTCCTGATGAAGAAGGAGACAACCGATCCAGCACTTCGAAGAAGAGAAAAACGAAGTTCCTCATGAGGAGGAATAGCAGATATTGCAGCCAAGTGTAGGAAGGCAGCGCCCAACAACAGTGTCCTGGTGAAGTTCTCGTGCAGAGCTGCTGAATAGCAGCAGTGCGATCTCCAACTTCCTGTCCCAGTCCCAGCTATGGCTGGGCTTCGAGGAAGAAGATGCCCTCACCCAAAAATAACGCAGCAACGCTACGGCAACGAACGGGCAGAGTTTCCCCATCAGAAACAACGAGAAAAAGACCCGACTTAATATTCCTGCCTGCTACTTCTACCCTCCGCCTAGACCTACGACGGCCTCCCCGAAGCAACAACCCAAGACCTATCTGTAGCTAGATGGAAACAAGGGAAAAGGGGGCCTAGACCTATGACAAGGCAAAAGAAAAAGGCCGAATGGCCTAGGACTACCAAACAGAGACGACTAGTAACAGATGCAGGGACCAAGCCCCATAGGGCACAACACTCACAAACAAAACACACAGGTTACGGGTCACGGGATCAAGTCCCGCAAGGTTCAAAACACACAAACAGCAAATAAACAGGCAATACAGCAAACACAGGTTGCAGGATCAAGTCCCGACAACGACGACAGGGACAAAATTAGTATACAGCCCGCTTGTAGCACTGAAATTCATTGCACTCGCCATCTACGAGCTTACCCCCCGGCGAACACCATCTGTACTGTGGATGTGGAAGACGTTGTGAGGGGAAGTTGATGTTGGAGGGAAAGTGGGGAGGTGCAGTATGAGCTTATGAGCGGCCGTGTTGTGCTACTGGTTGCGCGCCAGTCGCTAAGAGTCAGCGTAAGGGGAAGTCGGTGTTTGGGGGAAAGTGGCGAGGGGCACTATGAACCTACAAACGGTCGTGTTATGCTGCCGGTTGTGCATCAGTGGCTATGTGTCACCGAGGTCCAGGAAGAGGAAGATGAGGCATCATCAGGACAACCTTCAGTCGCTGAGATCCAGAAGCAAAAGGATGATCTGGCAGGGAAGCAAGCTGACCTGGAATCCACGATAAGACCACCATTATTATCCCCAAAGCAAAAGGACTGAACCGTCAAATGGTCATTGGTCACCCCTTTTTTTTTCTTTTTTTTTTTTTTGATGCGTGTCATCCTTACGCAGCAGCCATGCTAATCTGCTCTGTATCGTTCCCTTTTTCTAAAGGGGCTTAGGACAATGATTTCTGCCTTGTTTGCCGCTGAATCTGCAGCTGGTTATCGAGGTCCTCGATAGGAAGAAAAAGGGGTGGAAGGAGAAGACGAAGCGCGGGAAGGTTAGACCTAGCAGGGGGATTGTTGTGATTCTTGTGAAATGTCCTCTTTTTTTTTCTTCTTTTGTTTTTTCTTTTTGAAGGCCTTGAAATTTCATCATCGAACTGACCAGCCCTTGTAGTAATTCAGGATTGTAGTATTTTACTCCAGGTGACTGCTTCCAATGGAGTTCGAACTCAGGTCTGTATTATGAACAACTGAGCTTAGGTCGGTTGGTTGAACTTGGTTCCTGGTTTATTTTTCTAATGCTGCGATTGCTGTGTAATCTCTTCGTTTTCGCTGTTCCAGATTATGGTCGGCACACTGATTACCCAAGACTGTGGCCTGGGTCTACTGTTGGCGGTACTTCCCGCGTTTGCATCGAACAAACGTGCTGCGAGTATTATCTCAACCCTGGGACACAACTTGGCAACGCTCGTTGGGTTTGCGGTCCTGGCGTGGATAATTGCAAAAATTCTTATCCCTCATTATTTTCGCATTCTGGGCCGAGTGACGCGGAGCACATCTGAGCTCTACCAGCTCGGAGTCGTGGCGATCTGCTTGGCCGTCGCATTGTTTGGCGAATTCATCGGTCTCAGTATTGAAGTCGGAGCTTTTGTCGCCGGCCTTATGGTGTCCGGTAAGTTCAATGATTTCAATCTGATGAAACACCTTTTGCTCAATTTTGTTGTCTTTGTTGTCTTTGTTGTCTTTGTTGTCTTTGTCGTCTTTGTGGTCTTTGTTGTCTTTGTTGTCTTTGTTGTCTTTGTTGTCTTTGTTGAAACATTGGATGGCAGTGACATGAAGACAGTAATTGTGCCGTCTCCGGATTATAGTTTTCGCAGGCCAGGTTACCCAGATTGAGTGACCTGTTTCAATCAAGGAAACACACGTACACTGAGCAGAGCGTGCAATATTCATCGAGAAATAGAATGTGAATGAGTGCAAAGTTGCAAGCAAACTAATAAAGTAAGAGAGCGCAAAAGCCCAAGCGGGCAGCGCAGTTGGTTGAGCACGTAAGTGGTATTCAGGAGGTTGTGGGTTCAATTCCCCCGCTTTGTACATTCGATTCCCCGCGGCCCTCTGTGATACGTCTTTGGGTTCACCAGCAGAGATAATTGGCTTGGGCCCCCTGGCTGGCTGTGGAAGTATCGCTTCGCTTTCCAGCTCACGCGAGGTGTTAGGAGCTGGGGTTCTGCTCCCCGCATAGAGCAGAAACCGGGAACCCAACCCATGTTTGTGGTCTATAGAGGAAGAGTGTATCATTCCAGGCTAGGTAGGTAGGTAGTGGGAGGTACATTGAGAGACGAATATAGAATAGCTATTGGAAAAAAAAAAAAAAAAAAGAGAGCGCAATATATCAGTTTAATATCTGATCTGTGGTCCATCGGGTCCTGTCTGGTCTGTAGGGGTGGCCACTCACAGCGGGAGTATTTAGAAATCTGTGAGACCCGTCATACACGTTTCCCCTGCTCTTGCATGTCACTCTATCCTTCCCTTCACATATTTCTTTCCTTCCCGTTGTCCCTACCTCCCCTGTGCCATACTCCTAGAGAACTCCGCCTTCTATCCCTTACCCTCCACCCTCCCCTTCACTCCCTTTGTACTACTAACAAATACATACGAATGAGCATCATTAAGAGTATAGACGATATGAAGATCAGAATGAAATGAACGGAAGTA